GTTTTTCAGGTAATACTTCGGATCATTCCTGTTATTTTGATGTGTACACGGATTTAGGGTTTATGAAACCCATTTGGTGATTAGATGGATTATTATGTTGTTACCCAAACGTTTATACCCCAGTAATAGGATGTTTAGAGGTCCAGAAAGTCCCATGATTGTGTATTTCGGGACCATACGTATTTCAGGAAGCAGTTGATCGACTGCATGGCATGGACTCGCCGAGTCCAATGAACAGACTCGGCGAGTAGCTTGAAGATTCACTGGGACTCGCCGAGTTGTTCTTCAGACTCGGCGAGTGGAGTCGGGGTGGCCCCGCGATTCTTCCACGTGGATCTCGTCGAGTCAAGGGGGATACTCGACGAGTAGAAAGGGAACATCAGGGAAAGTTGGAGAGGACGTCTCGACTCGTCGAGTCACCTTTGCACTCGACGAGTCCGGTCCAGTTGACCGTTGCCAGAGTTGACCTGCATATAATTTCTTAGGGTCAGTTGTCTTGAATGATAAGAGTATTAATAAGGGTATATGGTATTATAGGGAGTCTGCAGATCGGCGGATCGAGTGCGAGTGATTTCAAGAGTTGATAGTTTTCATTACCACGAGGTGAGTCTTCTCACTATACTGTACCCGGAAGGGTTTGACTGTGTGACCGGAAGGTCGGATATGATTTGTGTTATACGTGCTATAAATGGTAAGGTATTTGCTATGTGTGTTATGTGTGTTATACGGGCCGGAAGGCAATATGTTATGTGACTGAAAGGTTGGATATGATATATGATATATGTGCTATATGTGTTAAGATTAATGTTTAAATTGCTGTGTATGTTTATGGGCCGGAAGGCAATATGTTATGGGCCGGAAGGCAATATGTTATGGGCCGGAAGGCAATATGTTATGGGCCGGAAGGCAATATGTTATGGGCCGGAAGGCATTATGATATGGGCCGGAAGGCAAAATGTTATGGGCCGGAAGGCGATTATCTCAAAGGCCTGGAAAGGCGTATATGTATGTGTTTCAGGTATTAGCGAGGACCGTGGGAAGGCGCCGGCATGATGCATACACACTGCTGCTATTTGAGATCTTGGGGATTTTATATATGTATTTGATTTGAATCATGGAATAAATACTATTGGTTGAATGAAATCACTTTATTTTAAATGAAAATTTTATTTGAAAATTTGCGTTGTTACACAGAGCTTCGACTCAGGAATTGCACTTCTCGGGATCTTCGGGGATTCGGGACTTGCTTCGGGGCTCGGGAATGATACTGGGGCTTCGGGATAATTCTTGCATGAAAAATGATGCAAAAATGCGAGAGAAAGGGAAACATGAGCAAAGAACTCGACTGTCCTTGACATCCTTTTATAGGGGCTGAAACCCGATTTACGCTGGGCGTAATGGGGATAAGGCTGCTGACTCCCCTCCTTTGGATAATATCGATATATTTTATTTAAATTAAATACCAAAAATATTTAATAAAATTCAAAAATTCATATCTACTTCATACGAACTGCGTTTTCGATGTTCTTTATATCCTCGCGTAGCTCAGACTACGCTCTACAACTTTCGTTTAGACTCCGTCGGCTAATTTTGACTTTATTCTTATTATTTACTTTTACAGGGGCGGGACAGGAAAACTCCATTATAAATTCATAACTTCTTCATCCGACATCCGTTTTCGCCTATCTTTTTATCGTTTCACTACTATTAACGAGATATTCGATTCTGGTTTAGATTGTTTTGGCTAAAAACTGCTCGATCTCAAATCGAGTATTCGAGTTGCATACTGCTAAGTCGAAACTTAGAGAAAGCATAACTTCCTCATACGAAGTCAGATTTGGGCGTTCTTTTTATGCACGCTCTCGGTTTAACAAACTCTACGAATTTTGTTTAGATCACTAAGGCTAAATATTGCTCTAACGTAAATTTCACTTTTTACATCATTCAGCGTTGCCGGTTATGTCGCGAAACTTCGACAAGTCATAATTTTTTTGTTATAACTCGGATTTCGGCATGCTTTATATCTTTGGAATCCTTGTTTCAACCACTAAATCTTTATGCACAGATATCGGGCTTATCCCACACTTCGAATTTGACGCTTATTTTATTCTTAATTCATTAATTATAATAATTAAGAAAATTAAACACATAATTCACATAATACTCAAATATTTCATCATTAATACTTCAAAAAGAGTTACATTGGTTAACCTAGACTATTACATCAATGATAATTCCTAGCCTGGAAACGCGGGGTGTTGCAGTACGACCCTTCACGCTCCTAGATCTCGAATCAGTGGGCTTGGCCCGCTTAGCCGCCAGTTGAGAATGAGTCGGCAGCCGATCCATCCTCTGTGACTCGGCCTCCTCCCTGGCCTAAGTCTCCAACTCAATCTCCCTCTTCCAGGCATTTTCCTGGAGCTCTGCAAATGTCCGGTAAGTGGAGTTCTCCACGAACTCCCGAATATCTCTCATAAGAACACTCAGATACCGGCTCATGCGAGACTGCTCGGTAGACACCTGCTCACGACAAAACATCACCCTCTCATGAAACTTTCTGGTAACAACTGTAACAGAATCAGTACCCTGTTTGAGGGTCAAGAACTCTTGAATCAACTGTTCCCTCTCCATCGAGGGAACATACTCGTCTCTGAACATGGTGGTGAACCTCTCCCAGGTCACCTTAGAAATCTCTATCAGAGTGAAGCTCGCCCTCACGAATTTCCACCAATCCTTCGCTCCCAAGCGGAGCTGGTTCAGAGCGAACCGTACCCTCAAGTGCTCCGGAAAAGAACACATGTAGAAATATCCCTCGATGTCAGAGATCCATCTCATCGCAGCAATCGGGTCCTGCATCCCATCGAAATCTGGTGGCTTCGTGTTGCTGAACTCCCAAAACAACAACGAGTCACCCTCCTGAGGTCTAGCAGCAGCAAAAGCAGCAATAGCTGCATAGCCGCAACCTCAGTCACTGCTGCACACTGTTAGTCTAAAAAACTAAGGATCCAATTCAGTAATCAATGAAGTTAATTGCAATTGAGGTGAAATGTAGAAGAAGAAGAAGTAAAATCAAGCATGCACACATCTATTATGAGTAAATGTCAAGTACACCTTGAGAAAGTACAATCACTGCCGATTTCTGACAAAAACTACAATCTGACACAACTCAGTTACTATAAATAGTACCCCCCCTACCAGCACATGAGTGTGCAGCCATACACACGTGTGCGGCCTCACACACTGTGTGTGGCCACACACACATGTGTGGCTGCACACATACAAGCTCAATAAAAAACAATACTACAATACAATCTCTAACACCCTGATTAGATCTATACAAAAAATTATGTCTAGGTCAAACCACAAAGTTATGGACCTTCAATCTCCCCCCTTGGATTGAGATTAGCATAGTATTGAACTTCATTCGTTTGGCTTCTCAGCTGGCTTCTTATACAATTTTAGATCCGATCTCCCCATCGAGAACATCCACATTCTTCCATTGATGATCCTAGCCACCATTACAGTGAATTCTTTAGCAGCAGCTTCCATGACATCTTTTCTGCAAATGATTTGATGACGAGCCAGAGTTCGTATATCCCTCTCTCTGAAACGAAGAAGATCTTTGGCACTAATCAATCTCAGAACATGTTCTCGATCCTTGAATTTGATAGCTGTAGTTGCAGTTTCGTCATTATATGTCAAAAATTCCATATTATCAAGATATCCCTCATGAAAATGTTGAGGAATAGGAATTTCCTTTTGTTTCTTAGTTGCAGGCCAGAGTATGATCTTCATGGGTTCACCTGATTCCGGATCAAGAACTTCTTTATCTTTTCTCTACATAGCTCTTGCAGTCTTCATTGATGGAAAGTTTTCTCTGACCTGTTTGTCAAGAAACCTTTTGAAGTTTGATGCACTTGGATCTTCTGAGGGCTTATGGAATGAGGACCTTGATAGTTCTGCAAGATCCACTTTGGTCCACGAATTAAAATCGTGGGTGCTCTTGTAATACTCAGGGATACCTGAGTTTCTTTTCACAACCCACATATTTGTTGCAGGGTCAAAGGCCTACATTCGAATTCCCGATCTATCTCCGTACTTATCACCAAACTTTCTTTTCTTTAGATCAATTACAGTCAGAACAGGGTCTTTCGCCTTGCGATTCTCATTTGAATTCTTCATAAATAGTAAACTTTTGTGTTTGTTGGCTGTTATGGTTCTTTTGCCCTATTTGATTGTTATTCTGGCTCTGATTCCCTCTGGTTCTTTTTCAAACCTGTTGACAACGGTGGTTGTTCTTGGAGTAGGTGGATTGACTGAAAAGTCTTTAGAGACAGACTGTGTGGGGGCTGTGGGAGGATCGTCAATTCCATGTGGTTTTTGAAAGAGAGCCTTGACTTTTTCACAAAGAGCGTCATACAGAACATTCTTGAGATTGAAATAATTAGTTGATACGGATCCAAGACTCGTTTGCAGATCTTTAATTTATTTGGTCTTTTCTTCATCCTTCGCTGTGAGCTCAAGAATGTATGCAGTGAGTTTATCCATCTGAATTGACTTTTCGATGAGCTCTTGACGAAGAATCCCAATCTCCTCTCGAAGATCAAGCGAAGAAGATTTGTTATCAGCTGTCCGTCCCTCCTTAAAGGATATTCCTTTCCAGCGTGATGAGGTTAGACTAGATTGTGCCAGGTGTTTTACCAATCTAATAGAAGCTTCATCTAATGAAGGTCGAGTGGGAAAATATTCTGGAATGGATGAGGATCCACCAGTCTCAAACATGGTACTCAGACCTTCATCCGATTGTTTTGGAGGAGAGTGAACAGTGGTAGCAGTGATTGTTGAAAGAACTTGAGGTGCACTTCTTATAGCGGGTACCTCCAGACTTGTAAGTGATTGGCTTGTTTCCATGGAAGGCTGAGAGGTTTGGGGCTGAGTTGAGTCAAAAACAATTGGAGCAGATGTTGAGATGGATGACACAAAGGGAGGAATCTCTAATGTCACATCTCCTTGGCTTGGTGCGACCTAAATAGCTTTAACGTAGAGAGTAGAATCTTGAGAACATTTCCTTCATCTCTATTCTTGGTTGCTAAAGAAGAAACTTCATTGACTTTGTTAACACAACTGCTGGGAATTTCAAGAAAAGGATCAAAATTTTCATTGCCAAAATCAAACTCTATGTTTGTTGGAATGTCGTCATTGATCCCCCTAATGTCAATTTCTTTTAAAAACTCTACATCATCATAAACATCGTCGTCATCATCTTCTTGAGTAGATTTTGATTCATTTTCTTTCTGAGGATCATGCTCATCAGCCACACAAGTTATGGGAGAATCATGAATCTCCTCCACTTCTGGTTCGGAGTGAGAATGAAAAAAATCTTCATTTTCCATCAGAATGGATTGCTCTTCTGATTCTTCTCTATCATTCTCTTTAAAAATTCCAAATTTTATCAATGGAAATTTTCCTTCAAATACAAATTTCCCGCCTCTCTTTTGTTTCATTAGTCCAAAAGTACTTGGACCAATGGATTTGAAATCCAAGGTATCATTTCCTTTCTGCAGCTCGGGGTGAGTCACATTAAAGATGATTTTCAAAAATCTCGGATACATCAAGAATTTTTCCCTTTTGCTCCCTTCAAGGTTTAGAATCATCTCATTCATTATGAATTTTGAGAAATTGAACTCAAATCCTACAGCCAATGCTGCAATGGCACCAGTGTTGGCTAGGGAAATCTCGTTTGCTCCTAATCTTCTACGGAAATGCAGCTGACAAACACATGAGCCAAATACTTACAACACGGAGGAAGCAACTTCTTGATTGTAGGGGGAAAGGTTCCCTCGTATCCCATGTGCTCCATGACATCCTAGGTTTGATGAATATAAAACTCCATGGTGTACTTAGATCTTACTTCTATTTGGAGAGATTCTCTAATGATGCTCTCCGTTACTTGAGTTTTCTTGTCTTCTATATTTGCTTCAACAAACTTTTCACCCTGATCATTCTTCTTCACAACAGCACTCCTCCAGAAATCCTTAATCAGACTCTGGTAGATAGCAGGGCATGTAGTTAGAGCATGGACCAAGCAAGATTTCTTCAAACCATCCATAATGAATTTGAAGTCATTGTGAGCTGCAGGAGGGTCTTCGAGAAAAATTGCGGAGTTGTGAGCCTTAGCAAATTCCATGTCTCCCATCTTAATATGAAAATAAACACCCAAAATCATTAGGGCAAAATTATTAAAAAAATGCAAGCGCACATAGAATTGCATACATCCGCACACTAACAAGTGTGTAGCTATTTATGTGTGTGCGGCCGCACACACTTAACCGCATATAATATTATACAGCCGCACACGCCGTGTGCGGTAGCACTCAAAGTCAAACAGATTGTTCTTGATTCAATAGCAAACGATGGAATATTTTCATAAAAATAATCGAAAATTTGAGCCGTGTTCGTGAAGATTACAGGTAAAAGCTTTGATATCGAAGAAAAGAATGGAATATTCAAGGAGTTTGAGAGAGAGAAAACCGTGTGTGCGGTTGAGACAATAGACAGTGACGGTGAAGGACTCACCGCACACACCTTATATATATATATATATATATATATATATATATATATATATATATATATATATATATATATATATAAGTTTCAAATTCTCCCTCTCACCTTTTTAATAAATGAAAAAATGAGGCCTATACTCACCAATTTTTTAAAAAACAAACCATTTTGAGGATTTAAGAGACTAAATTTATTATTCCTAAAGATTTAAAAATTTAAAAAAAGTAAATGAAAAACTTATTAACTAAAAAACAAAATAAAAATAAAATAGACTAAAATAAAATTGGAAATACTATTAACGACAAGGAATTAAAATTTAAAATTTAATCCTATATAAATTGTTTTAACCTATTGAGGTTAGGGATCAAAGTTTTTAGACAGTGTTTATCCACTTGTCGGTACCTTCTATCTTCACGTCTTTGTCTGGTCGATCACCGGTATTATTGTCCACTTAAACACGAAAAATTGTGACAAAATTAGGACATACTATAAGTGACAAGACAATGTGATCCTAAGTTCCTAGATATTATATATAATCCTAAGTTTCTAGATACTATAGCTTAAGGACCATTCAGCTGACGACGACCAGAGATATTGTTGTCCACCTAAATTGAGCAGCGAGATCTATAGGCAATCTTTGAGTGTTCAATTTTAATTGTACTGAAACATGTTTCCCACTTCCTGATATGCCCAGTAATCAAAGACTTCCAGAGTACTCCTTACATCGGGTGAGAAGATCATCACTAGGAGAGACGATAGATTCAGATTATTATCACTTATAGTTGTAGAGGGATTGAGAAGTAGTAGGTTACATATACTATGTACCAGGTCGGATTGTTAGTCACGCAAAGGAGACAACATATGACTAACAGATAAGAGGAATTTCATATATATATATATATATATATATATATATATATATATATATATATAATATGAACAGAAATAGAGTTGCATATGCTACAGTCCAGGTCGGATCTCTTCCAATCACGCAGAGGAGGCAACATGTGACTAACAGTAAGAAAGAAAGAAAATAATTTTCTACAGACCTAATTCATCGGAATTTACCAGTCGGCCCATCAATACCGGAATTAAGGACAGAATCCGCACATCGAGGAAAAGTTAAACCACGGTTCCAGATACGGGTTCACTTAATGTGACGAGTAGATTCCCATATATATCTCCATGCTCAACCTATGCAAGCGTCGTATTGTCAGGTTAAACGGAACTATCTAGGTCAACATTTATCAACTCTCTAGATTCCTTAAGTTCATCTGCACCTAGTCAAGTCCGTTAAATTCTTCGTGTCTACCGACGCATCAAACTAGAGCATAGACCCTTCAACTTTGGGTACGTTACGCACACTTAGATTGCTTGTTATCACTTAATAATATCACTTCCCAAAACATCTCCCTCAAGCACATTCTATAACCATCATAATATTTTTTTTCTGATTTTCTAATGTTTTTGGATTTTGTAATTTTTTATGTTTTTAGATTTTCTAATTTTATCCCACTAAATTTGTGCATAAAAAAATAAAATAAAAAAAATGCGCAAATTTATCCTAAGGTAGACATAAAAAAAATTAATCCACAAAATGGATCATTTTTAGAAAATTAACCAGCACATCGAATCGAGCTTTGTTAAACGGCTTGGTGAACAGATCTTCTACATTATTATCAGAGCGGACCTGTTCTAGCCAAATGAGCGAATGCTCATAACATTCTCTGATAAAATGAATCTTGATGTCGATGTGCTTGGTTTTTGAGTGTTGGACCGGGTTTTTGGCAATCTGGATCGTAACCTCATTATCACAGAAAAGAGGGGTTACTTGAAAATTCAAACCGTAGTCCAACAGCTGATGTTCGATCCAGATGACTTGTGAACAACAAGCAGACGCAACGATATACTCCGCCTATGTTGTTGAGGTGGAAACGGTATGCTTCTTTGTACACTGGCATGAAACCAATCTATCGCGAAGAAATTGGCATCCTCCTGAAGTCGATTTTCTATCAAGCTTACACCCACCATAGTTGCTATCTGCAAAAGCGTAAAGGTCAAATTCTAGATTCTTCGGATACCAAAGACCCAGTTTTGGTTACCCTTTGAGATACCGAAAAATCCGTTTAACAAGTAAATGAGAGAGTTTAGGATTAGAGATGCCCACAAAAACCAGTTTCACTATTCAAAACCGGATCCAATCCGAAACCGGATTGGGTCAAAACCGGTTTTGACCAAACCGGATCGGATCGGATTTAAAACCAGATTTTCAATCGGATCCTAATCCTATATTCCAAATCGGATTTGATACCGGATCGTAAACTGGATTCGCTAAAAACCGGATCCAAATCCGCCCCAAAATCCAATTAAAACCCACTAAAATCGGTTTAAACCGGTTTCAAATCGGATTAGAATCGGATTCGGATTTTGGTTAGAACCGGATCGGATTTTGACCGGATTCGGATCGGATTTTGACTGGATCGGATTTTTGATGACGTAAGCGAAACCGGATCGGATTCGGATCCGCATCGGATCGGATCGGATTTGGGTTTTGTGCATCTCTATTTAGGATTAGCCTGGTAGCGAGCACATTGACAGACCGCAAACATTATGCCTGGGCGATTGGAAGTTATATACATGAGTGATCCGATCATTGATCGATAATGTGTCTGATCTACGGATTCACCCTCACGATCAGGGGTTAGAAGAGGCCTTTCTGCCATGGGTGTAAGAGCAGGTTTCACGTCTTGGAATCCGAACTTCTCCAGTACATCATCCACATACTTTGCTTGGTGAATAAGGATGTCGGTTGAAGATTGTTGGACCTGAAGCCCCAGAAACATGGTCATTTCCCCAAGTGAACTCATCACAAACCGCTTCTTCATCACTGCTTTGAACTCTTTGCAAAGTTGTTGGCTTGTCGACCCGAAAATAATGTCGTCTACATAAATTTGAACAAGAATTTGATCTGGACCGACATGTTTGAGGAATAAGGTTTGATCAATGGTGACTGGGGAATAGCCGTGGTTGAGCAAATGCTGAGTCAGGGTTGCATACCAAGCTCTAGGAGCTTGATGCAGTCCATACAAAGCTTTGTCTAACTTTGTTAGCATGGTTGGGAAGTTTTGAGTTAACGAAACCGAGTAGTTGGTCAACTTAGATCTCTTCCTTAACCTTGCCGTACAAGAAAGCCGTCTTGACATCCATTTGGTATACAATGAATTTAATATAGGAAGCATAAGCAAGGAATATACGAATAGCCTCCAAATGAGCAACCGGAGCATAAACTTCCGTATAATCAAGACCCTCAACTTGCCGAAACCCTCGAACCACTAATCTCGCCTTGTTGCGCACAATTACGCTGGAGTCGTCTTGTTTATTCCGAAAGACCCATCATGTGTCAAGAGATTTCTTTCCTTTTGGCAGCTCCACCAACGTCCATACCCCGAGCTTCTCAAATTGATTAAGTTCATCATGCATGGCTTCAACCCAACTAGGCTCATTCAGAGCCATTTCAACATTTTTGGGCTTAATCTAAGAAATAAAGCAAGAATAGAGACACGTATTAACATTGCCACTTTGACTTCTTGTTTGAACATCGGCGCCCAGCTGGCCAATAGCGTTCTCTATAGGATGGCCGCGCTGAATGCGTGCAGGGATCTCATAGCTTATATCGTTGACTGAGACTGGAAGAGTATGAATGTTAACCGCTCCATCATTTGTTGTGAGATTCACAGAAGATGAACAAAGTTCGTTCGGAGGATATGCTACAAACTATTCAGCAATACTTTTTGGAAAGAGAAGTTCCATTAGATTTGAAGTTACAGCGGACGTCTCGTGGTTCATGAACTCTCTTTCCACCGGAGTTAGAGGAGTAGCAACAGCATCAGGAGAAGGTTGTTGAGGAGAAGACTCAGAAGATTTAGTGTGAATAGAGGGCACCATTGGAGGATCAGAAGAAATCAGTGGTGTTCGGTAGACAACTTCATCTTCTTCATCTTCAATCCTGATCTTCGAATTTGACGTAGATCCTTTTTGATTATCTAAGAACACATTGAATGATTTGAAAAGAGATGTGTAGTCAAATAACCAATTAGGACCTACTCTAGCATCTGTCTCATTTTCTTCAAGCCAACGAATATCGAAAGATTCTACAATCTGCTTTGTCTTCTTATTGTAAACCATGTAAGCAGTTCGAGCAGCATAACCAACAAAGTAACAATCATCAGCTTTTGCATTGAATTTGGGATTGGATTCCAAGTGAAGAAGGGTGCAAGGGCAGCCAAATACTCGGAAATGGATGATAGGTGGCTTGTGTCCATATAGAATTTCGTACGGTGTTTTCATTCTGGCTTTGTTGATCAGCACACGATTCTGAACATAGCATGCAGTGTTAATTGCCTCTGCCCAGAAAACACATGAAGCTTAGAGTCACAGAGCATCGTCCTTGCAGCATCTTTTAGAGTTCAATTCCAGCGTTCGGCAACCCCGTTTTGTTGAGCAATTCGAACGGAACTGAACTAACACACGATCCCTTTCTCAGCGCAGAAATGGTCAAGAGCAGCATTGTTGATTTCTGTTCCATTATCAGTACGTAACGCTTTCACTCGATTGTTGGTC